GCCCCGCGCCGAGATTGCAGCCAGGCGGCGCCGCGCCCCCCGCTGGCCGCGCCCGACCGGCCCAGGGGATCCAATCCCAGCCCCACGCCGGGTCAGCGGTTTACCGTGTCCAAGGATTACGCGCACAATCGCGCCAAGAGATGCAACGTAGCGAGGTTTGCAAAGCAAACCTCAGGGAGACCCAGACGCTGCCTAAGGATTCTGTGCACGATCAGTCAGCGAGGTAACTTAAAGTTACAAAGTTTTAGCGTGCTATCAGTGGCGCTTACCGAGGAGCTGTCCTGGGTAAGGCATCTCTCAACCCCGCGGGGTAAGCTTGACCTTGAGAGGCATCCCTGCTCAAGAGGAGGTTCGGCAGGGCAGCCCGCTGCCGTGCGGGAGAGCTCAGCGGGCTCTGGGCCACCCTTTGTTTATGGGGGAAAGAAGACTGACTCATAGTCATGCTAGCATGCTAGATGGTGCTTCATTAACCCCCCCCCACCCCCATCCAGGTGTATTTACATAGTAGACAGGTTTTAGTTAGTGCATGCTCAGCTAGTTCCCTCACCCCACACTACCATGTGCTGCTCTTCCCTCTCAGCCCAAACATCACCTGCTGGCAAACAGCACCTGGAGAGGGGCTAACTGAGCACGCACCAACCAACATGGGTGGGCAGCTCACTGTTTGGGGCCAGCCTCCTACCAGCACAGCAATTTCCCTGCATCCTGGGCAAACAGCACCTGGCAAATACCCAAAGGGTGTTTTTTCAGCTGTGGGAAGAAGCAACACTGGGAAGAGAACACCTTAAACCACTGGCCGGGAGAACTTCCAAACTGGCCACCAGCCGCTTCACAGCGCTGATGTGCAAGTGGATTCTCTGATAGCTAGTAAGTGGCATGAAATAGGACAGGACAGACAAACAAGGCAGTAGCATCTGGCACATTTCCTTAAGAAACCAGGCCAAACATTAATGTGTGGTGCAACCGGGGTTCACAAGGTTTCTGGCCTCTGCCACCATGACACAGAAGCAGGAGCGAGGCATGCACCCTCACCTGCGCTCACAAAATGGCTCAGAGAAAGCACAGCCTGAATTCCACACTCTGGCCACTTACGAGTAAAATAATCATTTATTTTTATGACTGGATGGTGCCTTTGCTCACACTGAATCGAAACCTGCAATTATTTTATGCCCATTGTGCCTGTGGAATATAGTAAAGTGCGTTTAAGGTACACCTTCTGTTGTGAGTTGCTAAACCTATTAATAAGGCAGTCGGGCTTAAACTGGAGACTTCTGGCTAGTCACCCCAGAACACATTTTGGCTGCAAAAGGTGCAATTCCACATCTACTTGCTTGTGCTTGCGCAGGTTCCCATGTGGCTTTTAAAATGCTTGCATTTCCCCTCCCGCACTTCTGGTTTTGCAATGTTTTGGAAGGGGCATGCCAGCATCAGACCTTGGCATTCGAGCTTTGTACAAACATTTAACTGGGCGCTGTGTTACAAACAGTAACTACTTTCACCAGTTTGTCCCCGTGCCACCCAAGCAGTCGCCTCACAGAAAACGCCATCTCGCGTACGTCACCAGCCACTACTTTTTAACTCGAGAAAACTGCCCTCCTGGGATCCCCGTCTTTAAGAGGGCCCCCAGGTACCTGTGCCAGGAGGCCTCCGCAGAACGCCCCAACCAGCCGACGGCCGCTTTGTCCTGGCACAGTAACTCAGCCGGCTCCGTGCACTGAACGGGTTCGGGGTGGTGGCACAGGCGTCCCTGCTCCTCAGGGAGGAGTTTACACTTGCAACAGGTTAAGCAACAAAGCTTAACAATGAATTAGTGAACAGTAACGATAACTGTAATAATATTGGTAACAACATACAACAATCACAAGGTATTAAGTTATTTACAACGGTATAACTGAACCTTCAGGCCTTGAAAAACACCGCCAGCAGCTCCACCTCCTCTCCCTCCTCCTGGCGTCGCCCCCCGCATAACGGCTCGTGGCCTTTTATAGCTGGACCGCGTCACGCCCACAGGCATCCCAACACTGCCATTGGTCACACCCGTCTGGACCCGCCTTCCGATTGGTGCGTCCCGGGTCCGTCACCAGCTTGTGGCCCCGCCCCCGTCCCGAACGTTCACTGACAGTCGCCGCCATGACTCGAGGGCGGGAGGCGAGGGTCAGGCCGAGGACAGCACGACGGACAGGACACACAGACCACAAATAGAAACCCTTCCAGCGGATCCGAGACAACTTTCAATCCGCCAAGGGTTCTACTATGACACTGTCTGACGTGCTTTTTTAGCAGCGAGGGGAACAGGCCGATCTGCTAACCCACCAGCAGCCTCACAAAGCGGGTCCTCCCCACGCGCTCCCCGAGCGAGCAAGCTTCTTCGGACCCCGAAAGCGCTAAGCGTTTTCTTACGGAAAGAACCTCTGCACCAAGCACTTGAAGGCCTCCAGACTTTCAGAAAAACATTGACACTCGGAAAGCGTTCTGGGGAAAAAAAAAGTTTACTCCTAAATCACATTTTACTCTGAAGGGTGTGAGAAGAAATCTCATTTGTTCCTTAAAGCCTGAAATAAGCCTCCTCAGATGCATCCTTCCAAGCCTTGTTTATCTTTAATACCCACCTCCACGCAATGCCAGGAAACTGGGTGCGTGGTTCCTTTAATCTAGCTGAGCACAGGTAGAAAGGGCTATGCTATTGGGGGGGGGGGGAGGGGGGG